TAAAGCAATCGTTCATGTCTGGCATTCTGGCAATCTGCACCTTAGAAGCCTCCTCATGAATTGCTTCTGCTTTGGATTTTCTCCAGGAGTCACTGCTGAAAGTTAATATCTGGTGGATATCGATGGCATTGTCTCTCAACTTTTCCTCACATTGATTGTTGCTCTATTCCAGGTAAAGCAGTGAGATACAAATGCCTTCGGGCTTCTCGAGCGTGCCCCAGTTAAGGCAGTACTTCACTTGCCCAGTTAGGCAAGGTTCATAAACACGGGGTGTGGTTTTACGATGCAGCTAATTAGCTCCGATGGCTAAGTGCCAGTCTGGGAGGTGAGTCTGCTCCTCCTGTCAACAGCTTCGTGCTCCTGCTCCTGCTGCAGATTCTGCTGCTTGTTTGACTCTTGCTGACGCAGTCCAGGACAATGACCTAGCAGAAACTGTTCATTTTTTTTTTTATGGATTAGTGTTCTGCCAGACTCATATCCTCTGATGGCTTGCCAGGGTAAGATGAGCATCCGTGCTGGCACAAGAAGGGATACAGGGTTGCTCAAGAGAGAGGAAGGAGAACAATACAGAAGCATTACATTAATTGAAGTGGTCAGATTGGTTGTAAATCCACACCTTTGCAACTCCCTCTTTGGCTTGCACAGATCAACCACAGCTGCCATCAGCTGAAGAGATTGTCTTCCCCTCTTGTCATTACTAGCAAGATCTGTTTGCAGGATTGTTATTTTCATTTTTTCAGATCACTTCAAAGACAAGAAGTGTTAATGGCAGCAATGGAAACACAGCAGAGAAGAGGACAAAGCAGGGAATGCAGCAATGAATGGGCTAGGAAAGGTCCTTTCTGGCAGCAGTCGCATATGTAGTGGTGAAATCATTTGCTTGGTGCAGGTGCAGCTTAGAGGCTCTCAGGCAGGGCACAGCTGGGAGAAGGGGTGCTGCCTCCTCCTTTTGCTCAGCTGTGACCCCAGGCTGTGCTCTACCCTCTGTTCCTCTGCCTGACTCTGCCCTGTAGCTCCTTGCCTGCAGCTACTGGGATAGTTTGATCCTGGAACACCTCCACAGAGGCTCTGGGAGCTGCACCTGCCTGCCCCAGCACATCACTCCTGTATCCCTGCCTGGGCTCCCCTGTGCTAACCCATCCAGAAAGAACGTGCTGATGGACTGGACGTGTGTGGAGCCAGGAGAGGAATGCTGCATTATCACAGCACTGTCACCTGCTGGTTATAACCCTTTTGTGAGGTCTTTTGGCAAACTTTCCCAGGGCTCAGGATCACTCTGAGAGGAAGCACTGGGACCAGAGGGACTTTGCCATCCTCAGCCCCAGGACAGAAGAGGCCCAAGAAATAAGAAAGCACGGGAACTGTATAACCATTAGGAACAGCAGCTGCTCCACAGTGCTGTCAGTGCCATGCAGGTAGAAATATGCTGCTTAATTACTATGATAATATAGAAGTCTTTCCCTATTGTTTGTCCAGCTCACATGGAGCCGCCCCTTGTATGCAAAGCAGGTTTGCTATTTAAATATCAGCTTGTGTACACATGCCAGCTTCTGGTTTTCTTGGGGATCCAAGACAGCTGCCATTGCTGCCAACATAAATAATTTTGCAGGTTGGAGACTAGTTGGTAAGAGTGTGGTGAGCCTCCCTTTTATCTTCTCCAATAGGAGTGCTTTTTGGTTCCGGTGGTTTGTTTTGGTGGTTTTTTTTTTTTTTTTTTTTTCCTTTTGACGTGACTTCCAGGAGACACAGAGTGAAAAAGGTATTTATTTTTTTTCTTTTTTTTTTTTAAACAAAAACAAAACCAAATTTTTTCATAACAAGGACGTTGCTAGATACTAAAAAGGTAAACACATTTTGGAGGTTCAAGTAGGAGTGCAGTTTGTATTCCTCCACAAAACATATTTTAAGAAAAATACTGCTGCTTCATGTAATTCCTCTCTAGTGCTAAGAAAACCTCCACTCCAGGGCACAGGAGCTACTGCCAGGTTGAGCCACAACAGTTTGAGAACAGAACTTGGTTGATTGTTTAAGAAACCATGTACTGGGGAGCCTAAAAATCCCCATGTAAATGTGGTATGAAGTTTTTACCACAAGAGAAACTTTCTGTTTCTAGTGTGGTTTAAAAGTTTAATCCAATTGGCTGCTGGATTAAAGTAATTCCAGGTTTCTGTCTTTTTTCAGTTTTGAATTCTGTATGGTTTAGTTTGTTTAAGGTTTATTGTTTGACAGTTTCACTGATAACGTCTTTCTGACTTTACACTGAGTGTGCTTTATTGCACTAAATAAATGTGTGTTGCCTGCTTGTTACGAATTTCTACAGCCTAGATTTAGTGTGGGATCCGGTCTAAGGGTACGAGCAGGCTGGGGATGGAGAACTCCAGTGCTGGACTTGGCAGAAACAGGCACAGCCAGGCTGTTCAGCAGGGAGGAAAGGCTTCCACACAGGAATACCCTGAGGAGCAGGGAGTTGAGAAACAAACCTAGGCTGCTGTTTCTCAGTCCTATACAACTGCAACGTGGCTACTCCTGGGAGCCCTCTGTGCAGTATCCCAGTGGAAATGCCTTATCTTCTTCTAAGTGAGACAGGGAATGTGTTTCAGCATAATGCTTAGTTGAAACACTTTATACACTTGGAAAACACTATAAATGCAGGTCTGATGTCCAACTCATCCTGGTTTCTTGTGCTTACCTTGCAAAGCAGAGTTTTAGTTGGGTTTTGCATTTGGCTCTCTCTGGGTTTTTTGTTTGTGTTTTTCCCCCCCCAACCCCTCCCTGAATGGGTTGTCTGTTTTTTTGGGACCTATCTGAAATCAGAACAAGCTGCCTGATGCACAGAGTGTAGAGCTCTCTGATGGGGACCAAGGGATAGGGTTCAGGATATTACCTCATCTCCGCTGGATTGTTTTTAAAGACACGCTGTCATTTCAGCGTGGATTTGAACATGTTAAGAACAGGTTCTTACAGAAGCTGAGGCCAGTGGAAATGTTATTGTTTTTAGTCACCTGGAGAGGGGTAAAGCAAACAAACATGCAAGGGCTCATCTTGCTCTATAGACAAGTCCATGTGAGCTGCCCTGAAGGACAGATGAGGAAGGAACAAGTACCCTCTCCTGATGTCTGCCAGCACCTATCTCTTACTGCCACTTGAACTCCTTCCAGGCATTAGATCCAGCATAGATTCATTTGTTGACAACTGTTAAGTTTTTTTTTTTTTACTCTTCTGGCGTGCTGGAAACAGTCTCTACTTTGGAAATCATTACAGCTGTGTAACTTGCAAGCTATGAGTAATGGCTTCCTCCAGTTCAACTCCCCCTTCTCTTAGTGTTTGCACTGTGCTCATCCTTCCCTGCCTGCCTAGTCCTGCCCAGAGGTGAGGTCCTGGATCTCAGTGCAGCAGCTTCCCTCGTGCCTTGGAGAGGAATTGCAGGTAAACATCATTCTCCCTCAACAGGACACTTGGCAGGGATAAGCCTGGGAAATGAATTAAACACTCCGGTAAATAGCAAAATGCAGAAGGGAATATTGGCTTAATGGCTCCAAGATAAATTTCGCTTCTCCTCACCAGCACCTCTGTCACCTGTGTGGAGCTGAGGAGCTATGTTCTTTTCTCCTAGGAAAAACTTCCTTTCTCACTCATTTACCTCACAAAAGTACAGCTAACTCTTCTTCCCAAGGTCACTGAGTTGATACAGATCTGAGCAATTTTTGTCTTCTTGTGTACAGCTCTCCAGTCTCCTGCTTGTGTTTCAGGCCTTTGTGTTCCAGAAGTGTGTTTTTTTGTTGGGTTTTTTTTTCCTTTTTTTTTTTTTTTCTTTCCCCCCCCCCCCCAGTTATAGCTTTTGGTATTTCAAAAGATATTGCTGTGATCTACAAACTTTGCCTGTGTCCTTGGGTCATGCTGGCTGCAATATTCTCTTCTTCCTTGCAGGCCAGGCAGTGCTATTTCTGTAGGGTTTAGGAGCAGAGCAGCAGCATGGCCATGTGCATCCTCTGGCAATTTAGCCTTGGAGGGACTCGTGTGTCTGATTTGAATTCCTGCAGTGCTGGAGGATGAGCTTTGGAACACTCTTCCTGTGGCTGTCCTGTCAACGATTTGCCAATTTTACTTCTCTTTTATTCAGGAGGGTGTAGTTAGTGGGTTTGCCTTTGAAAATGGGTAGAGTTCAAGAGAAATATCAATTCCTCTCAGTTGGCTGGAGAAGTAACTAAAGCCAGCTCTATTTTCTTCTTTAATATATAAATATTAAGAACTTCAAGTTTATTTAAAGATCCTGCATTTTGGATTCTGTGTGAAACTCAAACTGTTATGACTCAATCTCTGCTTGAGGATCCACAAGGGAAAAGGCAGGAGAAGCTGAATACTGACTTCAACTGTGTTTAAAAAAGGATGGAAGAGTTTCTCTGCAGATGGATACACGGTGTGCATATACATGCATACAGCCATAAGAGCCACGCTGTGTGTGGGGAGCACATATACAGGTGTGTGTTTATGTGTGTAGGCACACACACTCACACATATCTCCCTTTAGTCTCTGATAGATAGAAAACTCACTTGGTTCCAGTATTTTCCTTGATCATAGTTGCAGGTGCAGTGTCCAGGAGCCTCAGGCTTGTTTCTATGGCAGCTATTCTCAGTTCAGTGAGTTCCTCAATCCCCATTTGGCAATAGGGGGAACAGTGTTGTGGCACTCACACTGAGTGTGTCACGGAGGGCTGAGAGTGCGGGCAGAGGTGTCTGCAGGTGACAGGCTCCCATGGGGGGGGGGGCTCAGGTGCACCATGGCCTCCTGTGGCACTGGTCTGGATTTCCATCAAGGGCTTCATGGGACAGCCCAGATCTCTCTCTCTCTTTCTACCTCTCCTTTATTTTTTTTTTTTTTGTTTCTTTTCCTTCCCTCTTGCTCTGCCCTGAAGCAGGACTGCAGTATCAGAATGGCAGACTGCAGTACCATGAGCAGGAACACCAGGGAACCTGTGCTGCACTAGACAGGCTGACTAATTCCCTTTAAATAATCTCCCTTTAAATAGTCTGGAAGCATGCTGGTGAGTTCTGTTTCAGGAGCCATGAGCACACAGCCACGGCTGTGGGCGGTATAAATAGCCACAGCCATGCTGGGAAGAAGTGAACAGCACAGCTATTTGTTCTAGGAAGGTCTTCCTGCTTCCTTCATGTTGCTGCCTGGATAGCTGGGAACCAGTTCTGGAAACATTTTGTACAGCAGCGGTGAGGTGACAGTCGGTGACAGTGAGGAGGGAGCAGCTGCTCCTGGGAGATGGACTTCCCTCTGCAGTGGCTTTGGATCTGAGTGGCAGTGGGGCTGTGGGGCTGGAGGCTGTACAGATCGCTTTAGCTATAACAGTGCCTTTCAGACCCTGCTGAGCAACGCTGTGGGCTCAGATCTCACTGGTATTTATAGCATCTGCAAGGCGAAAGCAAGGAAACACTCCCTGTCTGGCTGGGGATCTGGAGAGAATGTGATGGTGCTGTCTGAGGAGGATGAACTCAGCCTGTCTGTGCAGTCCTACCTCAGGAATCAGCACTGCGAAACAAAACAATTTAACCAAATTGGGGACCTAGTCTGTGTTAGTTATGCTGGCTAATACCAGCTTTCCTCTTAACCATGGAAGAGTGCAAACTATTCTCCAGGTAGGAATATGCACTCTGCAGCTGCCTCCATAGCTGGTCCTGAATTATCAAAAACACCCGGATCTGATCCATGTCCAGTAGCTACTATAGCACTTTCCAAGACTTGGATAAATAGGAGAATCCTCAATGAAGAGTGCAGCAAGTCTTGCCTCAGCTGAGGTAGGAGGCATTTGAATTTCTTACTCATAGTGTATTGTCATCTTCTCCCTTCCATCCTACCCACTCGATGCGTCAGAGATCTAAGGCTTGATTATTTTAATATTTCTTTTTCTTTTTTTTTTCTTCTCCCCTTCCCTGCTGAGCAAGGGATACCCAAGCTTTCAGTTTCTGGTGCATCATGTCAGAGACATGTATTTTCCTTTTCTCTTTTTCCTTTTTTTTTTTCTTATTTTTGCCCCCATCTCCTCAGAGATCATTCCCTCAAGCCCACCGTGTTTTTGCCAGGGTAGGTTGGCTCACAGAAGGAGCTCAGTGCAAGAAGACAGAGGGCTGACTGGGTCTCAGGAGAGGAACAGAAACTGTGTGGGGCATAGCACAGACCAGTTACACAGAGGCAGCTTCCCTAAATTCTCCCTCATGTTTGCTTTCCTTCATAACATTGCTTTTAAGTCACTGTAAAGAGGACGAGGTTTTCACCTGGTCAGAAGTGCCACCCAAAGCTGTGGGACACCATTCAGACTGTTCTTTAGTCTTATGGAAGGAGGGAAGTTCTTTTCCTTTCTTTATTCATGCTCAGTGCTTATCATCCCCATGCTGGGGCACAGCTGAGGTCAGGGATTGCCTCACTGTGTCATTTATAGGAAATTTTAAACTCATATTTAGCAAAGCAGAAGTTCTGTGCCAGGTTTTGGATACACCATCACCAGAGACATTAATGGTCTTCAGAGGGAAAGTACTACAATGTTTTATTATCAACAGTCTTCTGAATTACAGAGTAGATCCACAAAAGTCCCAGCCTGTGAATTTAATTAAAAAGACAAAACAAAACACAGCTTTTTTATTAACTGTATTTAATGCACTTGCCTTGTGACACTCCAGCCATATCAGCCAGGCTGCTCCTGGGGTAAGTCCGGCCTCAGTTCCAGCTACTCTGCTACACACAGGTTCTCCTTGGAAAAGAAGAAGAAAAAGACAGAGCTGAAAGTAGCAGAAATTGTTGCAGTGCAGGACAGGCCCCACTGAGCAAGGAGAGCAAAAAGTGGAATGTGCCCATCACATTTTGCTGGGTCAAAATGCAATGTGCTTTGTCTTCTTCCCTCCAGCACAATGGCTTCGTTCCCCGTCTTGGAGCAAGAGACGTTGTTCCGGAACGGGACCTGGAGCTATCGCATTCCAGCCCTGCTCTACCTGCCCCGGTTCAGCATGATCCTGGCGTTTGCTGAGGAGCGGGAAGATGTGGTGGATGAACATGCCAAGCTCATAGTGATGCGCAGGGGCCTGTACAACCCCAGCTCGCACCACGTCCAGGTACCAGTGTGGGGAGGGAGCGGGGACACTGCCCACCTGTGCTGCTCACGTGGCTCCAAAGGACTTCAATGTATTCCTGCTGGAGGGACAGGGCAGCTTCTCCTCCCCAATTACAGGAGTCGAGTCTGCCAGTAAATAATGCATGTGTTGCTGTAACTGCTGGGATTGCACCCCGGGAGCGGGCGCTGGTGGGGGGACGGGGGCAGGTGCAGCAGATACTCTGGGAGAGGCTTTGGACCCATCAGCGGGGATGGGGATGCAGGCAGAGAGAGGAGACAAAACGTCCTGTTGTGGCAGCCAAGATGTGGAGGAGAGGCAGAAATCAGGAGTGGCACAAGGACAGGGAGGAGTAAATTAGCCATCAGTTACTATTTTTTTAGTTTTAATTCCTCATCTTAATACTAATTTCTGGTTTAAGAAACAATTGAGAACAGCGAGTCTCCCCACGCAAAAGAGTGTTGTCTGGTGTGTTGGTGCCAGAGAATTGGCACCTACCAGTTATTATTATTATCCTGATGGGTGGCTGGGGTGGTGGATATTCTATTTATAGTAATTTGTTTGCATTTGCAAAGGCATAAATGTCCTTGGGGGGGGAGGGGAAGTAATTTTATTTTTGTATTCCAAACCTTCACTGGTTGTCTTAAATTGTACACTCCTAACAGCTGGATTCTGCCTTGCAGAAGCAGCCTCTGAGCACATCTGCAGTGTCAGACCATTCAGGTTGCATCTTGTGTAACCCTCTGTAATTCAGTTAAGTAGGGCTCCGTTGGTCATAAACTTAGTCATTTGTGTTCACCTGCTGGATTTTCTTAAAATGGAAATATTAAATATTCAAGAAAAGTTAATACAGGCTTAACAGACAAAGAGAAAACGTGATCAAAAAGGGTAATCAGCAACTCAGGGCAGAAAAGCTAATTAATGTAATCTTACTGGAAACCACTGCTTCTTTACCAAGCCCATAACACTATGTGGGCATAATTTTCTAATAGCGATGTTAGTGTTAGAAATGTGATTGTGTTAGGTGCTAGTCATTTAAAGGAAGACAGGGCTTGCAGGGTAGTTATACCTGCTCTGTGACCTGTTTTCTGAATCGAACAGCTCAGGGCCCAGATTTCCATACCAGAGCATGTAACACCATGCAATCAGCCCAGCAAGGGGCCTCAGTGTAGGCTGGGATGCCCATTCACATATGGATCACATGGAGGAATAGGAGTTTGAATGGAAAGGAATTCGTCAGCATCCAGGATACTTGAAAAGGGCTCGGGTACCTCTGTGACCTCCTCAGAGGCATTGACACACCACAGTGTCTGTACCAGCACACTTTGACCACTGGGCACGTCTGTGTCAAACATGTATTTGTGAGAATTTCTGAAAATTCAGCCTCTGTAGCTTTTCAGACTGTGTCATCAGACACCAGCTGCACTAAGGTGTGGAGCTGTCAGCTCCTCAGGGAGCAGTAATTAAGAAGGACATAAACCACCTGCTTGGTGACGTGCACGTGCTTTGTGTTATCCAAAGAATTTTCACTTACCTTTGGTGATGCCAGATTATTGTTCTCCCATTTCTTGCTCTATCCACTAACCTGCTTCTCTTCTGTTCTTCCCATACTCTTCCGTAACTTTTATCCAGGCATTCTTGCACTATAACTTGGTTCTCTTTGTAATGGTGTGTTTCATTCTTGTCTCCTTTCACGTGGGCCCTGGCAGTGGAATAACATGGAGACCATTGTCACTGCACAGCTGAAAGACCACCGATCTATGAACCCCTGCCCGGTTTATGATGAGGTCTCAGGGAAACTGATCCTGTTCTTCATAGCTGTCCCAGGAAAGATCTCTGAGCAGCATCAGCTCAGGACAAAGATTAACCTGGTACGCCTCTGCTACGTCACCAGCATGGACCAAGGGCGCACCTGGAGCACTGCCCAGGATGTCACCGACAGCACCATCAGGACCGAGTACAAGAACTGGGCCACGTTTGCGGTGGGGCCGGGGCACGGCTTACAATTGCTCAATGAGGCCCGGAGCCTGGTGATTCCTGCCTATGCCTACCGTATCTTGGACCCGAAGCAGCACCCCACCCCTCATGCCTTCTGCTTCATCAGCTCTGACCACGGCACGACGTGGGAGCTGGGCAACTTCGTGGGCGAGGAGAGCGCGGTGGAGTGCCAGGTAGCGGAGGTGCACTCCTGTGGCAGGAGGGTCCTGTACTGCAACGCGAGGAGCACCAGGGGAGCCAGAGTCCAGGCCGTCAGCTACAACCACGGGCTGGACTTCGAGGGAGGCCAGCGGGTTGAAATGTTGGTAGAACCTCCCTTTGGATGCCATGGAAGTGTTACTGCCTTTCCACCTCCCCCAGATGCCAGGTGCCAAGATAGTTGGTTACTCTATGCTCACCCTACAGACCCAAAGGGTCGAAAAGATTTAGGAATTTACCTCAACAAAAGCCCTTTAAATCCAGCACACTGGACAAAACCTAGCATCCTCTTCAAGGGCCTGTGTGCTTATTCGGATCTGCAGTACATGGGTGTTGGACCCGATGGCTCACCCTTGTTCTCCTGCCTCTTTGAATACGGGACCCGCTGGCAGTGTGAAGAGATGATCTTTGTCATGTTCACCTTGAAGCAAGCCTTTCCCTCTGAGCTCTGAGTCTCAAGCCTTTCCATCAGCATCCCTCCAAACACCACCTTTGCTGATCCTTTTCACTGTCACTTCTCATCTTTGAGCAGAAGGTTTTTGTACTCCTGCTGCACACTTAGTTTATCGTTGGCTTGCAGCATCTGTAGATTATGAAGCCTATTAAATTACTAAAACTTAACGTGTTTGGGTTTGTTTTCTGTTGCCTGTTCTCCCTTTTTGCCTTTGGCTGCCTTTTACAAATCCTGTGCCCAAACCAAGTGTGACCTTTATATGGGGCTTCTCGCTTTGAGGTCTCCGACAGACTGGATCAATGTACCACTGCTGACAGCCTAGGGACTGCCTGGGAACAGATGGCAGCAGTTTTATGCTGAGTGGTATTTAGTAAGTTGTGGGGAAAGTTCTAGAGAGGGCACTGGGCTTACTGCCCTATATCTGGTGTCACCTTCTTCAGGACACTGCTTTGGCTTTGCTTAGGAGTACTGCTTCTTACAGACAGCATAGGAATTTGGTACCTCTAACTTTCAGGGCTTGCTGACTCCTTATTTCAGCAGGGCTGTGTGATGTCTTGCTCTGGGGACATTCCTTGCCCACTTCTGCAGTTCATTTGGGGTTGCCTTGCTGAGTTCCCAGGCACCCCAGGTACCTCTGTCAAACTGAACTTTCTCCTTACTTCCCATGCTATGTCCTTGCTTACTCACCCTTTTGCTTGCCCTGCACTGAGAAGCTGCAGTTTTTCTGTAAGAAAACCAGAGCCTTGTGTGCTCTGGCTGCTCCCTCTGCCTGGGCAGTGGCAGTAGGAGTCATGGAGGTCACCAGGACCCTTCCACGTCTGGGGACAGGACAAGTGGCCGAAATGGCATTTTGCCTCTATTGGAACTGCAGGATCAGGACAGGTCTGCAGAGGGAGCTCCCAATTTAGAGTCAGGAGGGGAAATGCTTGCTGGTCTTTGTAACACAAGTATGATCCATTCAGCTACTGCTTCTGTCGCTGACAACCCCACGTCTTTTTATTACAGAGTGTTACTGGCATATGAGGCAGTGTGTCAAACTAATAACATTGCCCCCCTTCCAGCAAAAAAGCACCTGTGTCAGAGGGAGGGGACCTGACCAAGCCCAGAGCAGCACGAGAACACTCCCACTGGAAGGCTTTCCACTACAGGCAGATTGTCAGCAGATTTCTGAAGAAAACCATTCTAATTTTGGTTAGAGAGACACTATTTATTTCTGAGGCTCCAGTGTGGTTTGAAAGGAGGCTTTGTACAGAGAGCAGACAAGGGACCCACCAGAAATGAATGGGTACCAAGGGAGACATGTCAGAGCAGGTGGAGCTACGAAAGTGTTACCTATGCCTCTGGACAAAACTCTGCTTTATGAACCAGTCTGTGCTTGTTTGCTGGGTGCTGTATCCTGTGTGTGTGCACGTGTGGGATGGCTGCAAGGAAAATATGTTTGTTTGCTCTATTGGTGCAGAACAACTCTTGCTTTCCAGAGCACTCTCAGAACACATCCCCTTTGAGAAACCCTAGCAAACCCATAGGATCCTTGGCACTGTCACTGCTCAGGTCTGCAAGTCTCTGCTTGCTCAGTGCCCCTACCCTGCACTTTTACTGCTGACAGCTTTCAGGGGTGGTGGGAGAAGGGGCCCTGATTTTTCTCACTGTGTAAATTTGTTTCAGGGCACCTGGAGGCTGCAGGTACCAAGAGAGTAATGAGATCTGGTGACCTTCACAGATAACCTGTAATTTGCCAAGCCTTTCCCAAGCAGCAGGTCAGTAACGTGCTGGGCTGGCATAGCAGAGTGGCTCAGGTAGCCAGTACTTTGTGGGTATCACTCATATGCTCTTCAGATGCAGGCCAGAGCCTAAATGCACCTTTGTGGCCAACAGCCTGTCACTGATGCCTGATGAGGTAATGGTATATTTAGACTTCACCAAAGCTACCTGCTGTCCTATAGATCTAACCTCCTCCTCAGGTACTATGGAATACTTTTGTTTCGTGACATGGAAATGCATGTTTAAGAAGTTTTTATCTGGCCAAGCCTGGCAGTTCCCATGATGATGCAGAGTGGACAGGCTGGCTATAAGTGGGGGTTGTGTGACCACTGTACATCTTGAATGATGCCACAGACAGTATTTATTTACTGGTTCTGGACAGGCTGGTGAGTTGACAGCCAGCTGGTACAATACTACTACATCTGTAGCAAAACCAGTTTATTGCAGTGTCTGAGAGATGGGATATTATTTCAAGCTAACGAGCCATCAGGGATCACAGAGCTGTTTATGTTGGGGGATTGGGATTCACCTTTTGAGCAGCTGGAGCTGTATTATGCTTTCTTTTAGAACTAAGAAATACTCAAAGAAATCAGCCTGCATATCCAATTGCCACAATTATAACATGTATTTGGATCCCTTCCCCTTGTTTATGTCTCAAACTACAGGAGTTATGTGTGGCTGGACAAGGGATTTGAAGAAATAACAGCAGCTAAAAACTGAAGTTGGAGGAGGGGTGGAGAGGAATTAAGTATTCCCTTAATTAGTCTAACAACTAATTAGATGTCTAACCAGGGGTTGTATCTGTTACCTTGTTTAGCTTGCAGAAGATCAGGAGAAGCTTTCCAAGCAAAGTTTAATTCCAGCAAAACTCCTGGGGCGATCAGCAGTTCTGTCCACTCTGCATCCAAATATGTGTCCATTGCCTGGAGAGCACTGTGAGGCCAAGCAGTGATTTAGCATTCAGAGCTGTTCTGTCTCTTCCTGTAGCTGTGCTCCAGAGAAGTTCCTGGAGGTGCCAGAAATCCCAGGCAGTTGGTGCAGGTGAGGTTAGCAGTGGTCTGGGGAGGCAGGGCTGTTAGAGGAGCCGCACGGTTCCTTCGCCATGTGCAGACACTCCTCCTGGTGAGGAGAACAGGGTTTGTAACCCCTCTGTAGCTTACAGCCATTGCCCATGCAAAACCACTTCATGGCAATCAGCATCTGACTGCATTTAGGTTCCTGAATCCATGGCAGTTTGTCTCCTGAAGCCCTGTGTGGATGTGGGCAAAGCTGAAGGTCAGGTCCAGCTGAGCTAATTTTGTACTGCAGGCAGTGCTTGCTCAGCATGGTCAGGAAGCCCTGCACGGTGCAGTTCTGCTCGTTTAGCAGGGCGCTGTTCTGGCCACACAGCTTTGAGCTGCTGGTGCCCACAGCCTCATCTCAAAGGCAGAGGTCAAGCTGGACACTGCAGGGCAGGTTTCTGGTGAACTGAAAGCACCAGGAAGGCCTGCAGGGATGAATGCTGGGTTGTGCCAGGTTCACTCTCTCCTTACCCACAAATTCTAGCCTCTCCCTATAGAGTGCCAATCTGTTCTCTCCTGTCTTGCTGTCCATGCTATGTCCACGATCCAGGTACTGTGGTTCTAGTACTTCTCCTGGCTCTGGGAAGCAAGGGTTGCATAGGGCTAGCAGGATCTATGCCTTGCCTGGGAACTTGCAAGGCAGAGTCTGAGCTCAGCTGCTGCTTTTAGATATAGCTCAAATGTGGATGTGCAGAAGTGCTGCCTTCCAAGGCAGAGCAACCAAATTTCCCTCACAGGCAGTGCCCCTGTAGCAATGTCCTGGTTTGCTGCAAACATGTCCCCTGTGCTGTGCCTTGGAGATGCAGCACTGAGCAGCCACTCAGCACAGTTGAGGGACAGATGTACATACCAAGAAAAGGGAACTGAAAACTCCAGTTCTTCCCTCTCTGACGCAGGTTGCCAGACACAGCTTTGCTCCATCCCACCTTCAGGGATTTAGAGTAGGAAAGATCTTTGAATTCATCTCACAGTAGCTGACAGGGAGCTTTGGTCACAAATCCCCAGCGCAAATCAGCCTCTCAGTCTGCTGTGCGTGGCAATGTGCAGTAGTAATTTTATTCTGCTCAGTTCTTTGAAGTCCCCTCCTCACACCTAACTACCTATGAGGACTAGTCAAGGCAGGAACGGGGCAGTCAGTGCTAGGTATCCTACTGCACAGTGTGTTTCTGCTCAGAGATTGATTTATTCCCCTTGGAGCCCTGTAGCGGGTAGGACAGACAGACAGGAAAAAGATGAAAACTCAAAGGGTCTGACAAGAGATCGTAAATGGGACATCAGGCCACCAGAGCCTGGGGGACTGAATGTGTGAGGGAGCAGAAGAGATGCCCAGCTGGGACTTTCTGACATGAAGGGGGCGGGAAAGGCAGGGAGCATGGGCTTGCAAGTCACTTCAGCTGCAGCATGAAGAGGAGAGCGGGGGCTGCAGGAACATGTCACGCTCACTCTCTGAGCTGTTTGAGTTGAGGAAGTTGTCCGTGGCTGAGTTTCCTTTCCCTCTCTGTACTATTGAAACAGGAAGCTGCCGAGTTGAAGCTGGCTGATCGTTACACACAGACACTCAGGCAGCTCTGGCAGCTCCTGGACTGGAATTCAGGTTTCCTCCAGCTCCAGCGATGGATCAGTGCTGGTACCACGGCAACATCACTCGCTCCAGAGCTGAAGACCTGCTCTCCAAAGTAGGCAAGGATGGCAGCTTCCTTGTGAGGGCCAGCGAGTCCATTGCCTCGGCGTACGCGCTCTGTGTGCTGTAAGTACGGCATCCGCCCGCGCACCCGCACTCCGCTGCCCCTGCTCAGGCAGGGGGCACCCCTGCAGCCCCCAGACAGCCAAACAGCCGCTGTACCCACAGGGAACACCAGAGCACCTGACTGGGCCATGGGGTAAGGAAGGGTTGGGATCAGGGCCGGGCTGGACAAACCCACATCACTTACTGCTGTACCGCTCACGCTGCTCTTGTGCCTGATTCAAAAGGAGAGAATAATCAAAGGCACTGCAGCTGTGCTCTGAGAGAAAAGAGCATCTTGAACTTTTGGTGTCTCTTAACAACTTGGGTCAGGTATTTACCTTTAACAACTCCAGTACTGAGCTTGGTACCCTCCCAGGCACTTTTCTTGCTCTGGTCCAGTGTGTGTTTGACCCACCTGCTTGTACCGTGTCCCATTCAACAAAAGCTGAAATAGTTCCTGGAGCTGTGCACGGTGCACCTGGCACAGCAGTGATTCTGCCTGCATCATTAATGTGGCTCATGGGGTAAGTGTTTCATGTGGGACACAGGGAGAGAAATACTGGCAGTCCTGAACCCCCATTCTGGGAGACCAGAGAGCAAGGCCTCCTGCCCTGGGTTT